CAAAGCCCACAACAGTCAGTGGAAATACTTCTAGTGACTTCTGCAAACACTGGATAAGCTCCTCATCAAACGTAAAAACATGGAAGTCCACCAATTGCTTATCCAAACAACCCCCATTAATCATTTGAAGAATTCACAATGAGTTTCTATCACTGTAACACATGCAAGACTGATTCTAAGATCCAAACCCTTTTACTCACCAGCAACCAATTTAAATAACAGCTTAATCTTCCATTCCTGACCCTGATGAGCATATTGTGAGTAACTGGCTTAGCCAATGAAATGTACAGATTTTAGGCAAGTCACTCTGTTTTGCAGCTGAATAGAAAAGGCATCCAAGGCCTTTCACATGAGAACACAGAAAATGTTTCTGTGACACAGATGCTGCCCTAGTAATATAATCAAGAATGTACAGCTGAGGAACTCAAAACATCAGATATTCTGAATATGGTGTTATCATTTTCCTCTTGAGCTTTTCAGTTTTTGGTTTTTCTTTTTTTTTTTTTTTTATAAGCAGGCAGAAAGAGCCTCAGTGAGTAGAACTAGTTTAGCTGTATTTATTTTCTCAGTCACTGTTTATTCAGTGACCATATAAATCAGCTATTGTCCCTATACATAGCACTTTGCATGTTTATTCCAGGGGCTACAGGGAAAGGAATAGCCTTCCTTTCTACCATACATGAATAGTTCATACTGTATATTTGTCTCCAATGGAAACCAGTGACATTTCTTATTACTGTCAGTTGCTGGGAAGAGAGCGCAAAGGAAGTGTGTGAAAACAATTTGTCCTCTGTAGTAGTTATTTGTACCAAATGCATTTCCCAAGAGTTGGCTGATTTATTCTGATGATAAACAAGTTGGATAATATACAATACCTTAACACCAAGCATATTCACTGAACCCTTCCTGGAAGCTAAACATGGATTTTCCTTTTTTGTTTTCTTTTACAGAATAATTTATGGGTTTGAGTATTATGGTCTGTTGTATTAAATGTCCAGTTTTGTTATGCGCTCTGCATCTCTTCAGCAAGAAGAGAAATAGGTCCTGTTTTTTTGTGAGCCTTTCATGGTCTTTTTCCTGTTGGGAATAGGCTCTAAAAGAACAGTTACTTGTTTCTAAACCACATTTAGACATAACGTATAACAAAAGACAAAGAATGGGAACAACTTGGAATGACGAACACTAGAATGTATCTAGTTCTCCTTGGAATCATTCTGAAAGCATCCTGTCCACTACTGAATGCTGCTTAACTTTTCTGTCTTCCTCTCCTAAAACATTGGGGCTGAGATTAAAGTTTCAAAGGACATTGGAAACTAGCTGTTCATGGCAAGCCTAAACTCTGTACTGTAGAAACTGTAGACCAGAGGGAACTTTTGGTACTAACTGTATCTCTCTAGAGGCCAGCCATCCTAGCTCCTAATTCACGCTAAGTATAATATGACTGTGCTTCATAAAAGTTTGCCTGTTTACAAGAGCTTGATTTATTTATTTAGAGTACAATTTGTTAGTAATTATCCTTTTTTCCATTCACAAGTAGTTTGTGTGCTTTTTTTCTTTTATAAATCTTTTCAGTATTCATAGATTATTTGGTGAATAGCAGAAATAAATAAATCTCAGTCTTTGGGTTTGGTTTGCAAAATTTTCAACTGGGCCATTCACTGCTCATTTTTCGTGCTACATGACTACTAGGCCTGTGCAAAGCGGCTAGTATTTGCTTTGGATTCAGCTGATTCAGGGGCCACTGATTCAATTCGGTGATTCAAATCACTGTCCCAAATCGATCTGGCTAAATCTGATTCAGAATCAGCTTTAAAACAATTAAAATTGTTTTAATGAAGGAAGAGACTGGACTGAGGACAGAGCTGTTGGGGATTAGCAATGCAGCTGTTAATGGAGAATACGTCATCTTTCAGAAGCTGTACATGATTCTCTCTGTCATAGATGCAACAGAAAAGTATGGCTCTTGAAGAAGAAGGATTTGTGTGCGTCAAGTCCCAATCTCTCAGGATTGTGTACAAAGCACATAAATTCTCAGTGGGGCATCTACACATCTGCTTGACTGGTGACTAATTAGCTCCTCAGTAAAGCGTCACCACATACACGTGTGGCAATATTAGGCCTCAACAAAGTAATTAACTCTGCCATAGTATAGTACTGCCTGCCACAAGTACTACCCTATGGCAGAGTTATTTAGTGCACCACAATGAACATGTAGATGGTGACCAGAGCTGGTTGCGGCATGAGGGTGCTACAGTGTGGGGGCTACCTGTTGGTTATCCCTACACTAACTAACTAATGTGCTGTGGTGGGGCTGGCTGGGGCATTGTGCCCCAGCCAGCCCCACTACAGCACGTTCAGCAGGGGCGGAACAGCTCTGGGCTGGCAGGCTGACCCCCAAGAACCTGTGCCAGTGCCTCCCCCTCCCCCAGGCACCCTGCTGCAATACCCTGAGTCAACATGTTATGGTCCTGGGTGAACATGTAAATGCTGTGCCTGGGAGCAATAAACTCTGGCGTGAACTGCACCCAAGTTTATTCAGCCATGCTAATTGTATGTGTAGATGCACTGAATTGCATAACTTAATGTAAATTATGGTTGAAAGGAACCGTAAATCTAAAATCTTGTTGCACCACAACTTGTCGGGTTTCACTTCTGCTAAGTTTTGTGCATCTGGACAATATTTTTATTAAACAATAGAAAAGCAGGCTACCAAGGAAAACTTTCAGCCATAATCGAAATTTAAAACAAGCAAATAAACAAACAGACACAAAAATCCAAACCAACTAAACCAAAAACATCTAAATGGAAAATTCAGAGGACATAGAATCTAACCCTTTGTGTAATTTCCAGTGTTTGATGAACTAATTTTGGAGACAAACATTTATACCCTATTTTAAGTGCTATTTTAAACACAATATTAACCACAGTGCCACTTACACTTTCTTCACTAAAAAAATCATTGAATCTTTAATGGCCTGGTCATGTTTAGCATCTGTATTTTACACATACTCTCCAGATTCTTGTGTGTCCACAATTTAACACACCCTTTACGGATCTTATTGGCCTCTGCTTGTTATAGTATTGATAATCCTTGCAGTTTTCAGTATTTTGTTTCACCTCTTATGCCTATTCTATAAATTAATATCTTGACCCTTGAAATGTTCATTACAAATTAAAACCCATTCCCAGGATCTGCTCTTTAAGAAGTTACAAAAACCTTTATTAAATATTTAAGTTACATATTTACATACATTTAACGTATCTTCTGGCAATCACTGAAAAGGATCAGTTTGGTATTGTGTGTTCTTGCTCAGGGTTACTTAATATTTAATACTTACTACATACTCATATTCATCTTTCGTAAATATTCCTTGACAGTAAAGTCACTGTGTTTTATCAGACACACATGGACACATCAACATTGGTGCACGTGTCACTTACTAACGTAACATCATTTTCTAGGATTGCCATTCTAATGAGTTACCTTTTTCAATTATCTGTATCCAGGGTATTTATGTAATACAAGCCTAAAGTGCATTCTAAAAATAGGTAAATATATAAAGATAATAAAGCAAGAATATACATAATTTAAATCAGTGATGTGTTTCACCACTATGAAACTATAAGGTATTAAAGGGAACAAGACTGAAATTCTGTGGGTAGATTATCCAGACAAATTTTTCTGAACAGTAAATGTTTGAACAAAGAATTTCCACTGGCACTACCAGTTCAGCTACATTAATAGGAGCCTTAGTGTAGACAGAGCTCTGGTGCCTTTTTGTATTTTACTAAGTCAATTACATTTGCACCTGAAGAAGTGCCAATGGGGTTTATTTTTAAAGTGGTCATTTTAAATTAGTGTTCTATAAAAGTGGTGGAAAACTGTTTATAAAACTGTTTAAAAGTCATAATTCCAACCCGAGCCATTTCACAAATATGTTTGTTTCAGTTTTGAAAATGTAAGCACTTCTAAACCTACACCCCTGTAGCACTTTTAAATGAAATTTAAATTTTGGAAACGTTTAAATTCCACCTTTTTGAGTGAAATGTGGCATTACTTTTGAGTTAAAACCTAAAAAAAAGTCTGTTTTGTGAAGTCAGACTATTTGCATGAATTTACGCACTTTCAAGGACTTTGTCTATATTAATAATAGATGACAGATATTATTCATGTTACTTATGCACTACTGGAATATGCTCAGATACTACTTTAATTAGAGTGGTAGAAAAATCTAAACAGCATAACATAATATAGTGTTCTTGTTTATTTCTCATCATTTTGTAATGTGCAGGAGTTTCCTCAGTCTTCACAGGCTAGTCTCAGTTCTGCAAACATTTATGCACAAGCAATGCTGAGCTCAATGGAACTACTTACATATGTAAAAATACACATCTGCTTATGAATTTGAAGGATCAGGGTCACTGAAGGTTACACATAGGTTTATGTATCAAAATAAAACTACATATGTTCTCCACATATGTTTTTTCAGTGTCATTAGCTCAAATGCAACTCCAGTCTATCATGTTCTTCTGTATAAAAAGATCTGTGTTTTTAACTGGGTCAGCACAGGCTAATCCCAAGTTTCAATTTAAATGTCAGTATTTTGTTCATATCTTTAAACGATTTTCTATTTTATACTGACCCTATTCTTTTCTTATTTTTACTATTGCTTGAAGATGCTTTCATTTCCTTGTTCATCAAAACAGGATTACATTATATATAGAATAAATGATGTTTTTTTCCTAATGTATTGGCTGAGATAAATATCTATGTTATTATTATTGCCATTACTTTGGAACAATGCACTTAGTGGAATATGAATTTAGTATACTAATTTTATGTATAGCCAAATATCTAGTGACACTTGTCATATAAATGCCTCCATTTTCTTTCTATTTCTCCTCAATATGCACAACTTGAAACATCAAACATGTCACCAACAATGCATCTGTTCTCTTTCTGTAGAACAGGCCAGCAAAAAAAGGGTAAAAGTTCTTACCTGCAGGCTATTAAAGATGACAAAGAAGACTAACATCCAGAGGTGCCTGTAAGCCACGTGCAGTCCTCCCCACAGCCATGTAATGGAAATTAGGGCAAACAGGTACAAGACCAATGGGATCTCTGGAAATCATAAATTCAGTCTTTCAGTTGATATTCCTTTTAAAGCATTTCAAAACATTACCTGTGTATAAAGAAGCTTGGTTATTCACTATCTCTTTCACTAGTTGTATACACCTAAATATCTTGTGGAGTAGGATGAACTGTGGTATGCAAGCTCTACTGATGACCACTTGCATTCCTGAAGTTGCTGTCCCTTGCTGGGAGAGGGTGCTGGGGTAGGAAAGGGGTAGGAGATATGAATCATCTCTCTCTCAGAGCACCACCTGCTGGTTGGTTTAGCAAACAGAGTTGGCAGTGGTCTTTCAAGGAAAATTCATTTGGAGACAATCCAAGTATGTAAAACAGATAAAGAGTTTTGCTTTATGGTGGGAAGAGTACATATGTCCTTTGTAAATATTATAAGCTAAGTAAACTTAGCAAGAATGAGAAGAATTCTTCTAATTCAGGAACATTTGGAGGAAAAATATGAAAAATATACTTCCAGGGCTTAGGAAAAAATCTAAAATTAATACTAAAAGACATTAGGACTATAACATTTTAAATTGAGAACATGGCTAATTCATTGATGTACTGTACTTATTCTGCAAATTTAAAATGATCATAACTTTGAACCTGTAAAGATTTAAGCAAACAAGTAAATTTATTCAATCATTCAAGTCTTTGCATTGTCTTCTAAGATGTGTACGAGTTAACTTTATGCACATATAAAAGGATCTGGCTGAACACACAGAATTCAACAGATAAAAATAGATTTGTTTCAATCATAATCTTATCCTATTCACAGACTGCCTTATATCCAGATGCACTCTATGGGCACGTCCACACTTGCAAGCATGTGCGGTTGCAGCAGCTCAAATGGCAGTGGTACAAATTTGAGCCAGGGCATTTTGCCTCATAGTGCATGTGCTTGGACATGCATTTTGTTGTGGAGCAAATTGTGCCACTTGGGGCAAAATAACCCTGCCTGGCTCCTCCTGGATCTGCAGCCGGGATTAGCTAGAGCCTGTGGCCAGCACCTGTGCTGTCCCCAGCAGTATAAAAAGCTGCCCTGGCAAGTAGCTCAGGGCTCCTCACTCTCAGGAGCTTCTGGGGCCCAGCCAATTGGTACCTGGAGACACTACCTCTTGTGCCAGCTGGACTGCTGAAGCAGCCCTGAGAGTTCTCTGCACCTTCTACCCACTGCAGTGGTCTGGCAGTGGGGGCTGCTGCCTGGCTGTGACCTGCTGTCACCTGCCAGACCCAGATGGGGACTGCACAGCCAACAGAGGCATCTGCCCCTCTGGGCCAGCTGCCAGTGGGCTGTGGCTGCAGAGTTGGCCTCTGTGCGGCACTACTGCCACGTGTGCCCTCTGTCCAGCCATCTGGGCAGCTATCACCCCAAAGATGTTCCAGATGTGGTGGCCTGCTTTGAACTGTCAAAGCATGTCCTTCTGGCCCCATTTGGCCAGGAGGTCAGCCACAGCGAGCTGGGTCCAAGATGCCAGCTCTGAGCAGGCAGGGTCCTGCCACTGACCTCCTTAGCAGAAATTCTGGTGTTTCCTATTAGAAAAATGAAAAATCCCTGACAAAAAAAATCCCCAAATCACTCTGTAAAATACCCCAAAATCCATGTTCCTCCACAAGTAAAACAAAAGACCACTATAAAGACAGAGAGAGAGTGAGACAGCAATCAGTTGGGCAATCTTTTATTGATATATCTAGTGTTAAAGCAGCGTGGAAGACTACCAGTGTCTCTATCATAATAATAAAGTGAACTCTAAATACATATTTCATGAATTCATGAATATATATTTTGCTGCCCTCCAACAGGGGCTACAGCCCCCACACAAGGGCTACAGCCCCCCCGCAGGGGTTTCGGCCCCCCACACAAGGGCTTCAATACCCCAAGAGGGGGTTTGGTCCCCACACAGGGGATTCAGTCCCCACACAGGGGCTACGGCCCAACAGGGGTTACAGCCCCCCAACAGGAGTCAAATGGCCCCCACAGGGGCTACCACCCCGCGCAATACCCATACGCCCCACTCCAGCCCCCTGATAGCTGCCCCACCCCCCACTTCCCCAGGCTCCTCAATGGCTGCCCTGTCCAACCCCATCCCCCACTTGTACCCCCAGGTCCCCATGGCAGCTCCCGCAACCCCAGGCATCATCACTTTAAAGAAAAAAAAGAAGAAAAATAATAAAAAACATGAGTAAAAAAGCCTCTACTTACCCCAGAGGCAGGGATGGGGGGGGGCTCCGGTCCCTCCTGGTAAAGCCCCCCATGGCACCACAGGGCAGAGGGGACAGGAGGGCCTGGGCTGGGGCTGCTGGAATTGTCCCACTGCCCCACACTGTGAGGGCGGGGCCCCAGTGAGACAGATGGCAACCAGACTGCCAGTAAATGCTGGGGGGTTTTGTTGGTTTGTTTTAAACTATGGGAATGCCACCAAGGTGGAGGGTGGGGCTGGTCAGGGAAGTGATATGGTGGGCTTGGGGGCAGGCTGGGCAGGAAAGTGATCACATGTGGGGGGGGTAGGTGGGGGTGGGGACAGGCAGGAAAGTGAGGGGGGTCGGGAAGGGCAGGCAGGGGGTGGGACCCAGCAGAGCAGGGATCAGGGGGGTCGGTGGGGAGGCAAAGGGTGATGCTGGGCAGAAAAGTTATTGGGGAGGTTGCAGGGGCAGGCAGGGGTGGGGCTGGGCAGGGCAGGGATCATAGTGCTGGTGGAGTGGGCAGGGCCAGCAGGGGTCCCCCCCGTGGTCCCCTCCACCCTCCTCCAGCCCTCCCCAACCACTTCCTTATGGCACTGGAGCCCTGGTGCTGTGCTGTCTGGCAGGCTGCGTGTTTCAGCACTAGGACGAGAGGCCAACTATAGAGATGCTCTGGCAGCCAGAGCATCTCCGTGGAGGACACAGCCTCCAGTTGCCTCAGGGCATGGTCCTGCCCTGCTTTTTTTAATTCTCCGTTGTTTTTCAATCCCTGGATTTTTTTGTTCCTGCATGTGCCTTTTCCCCCTTCTGAAAGGGGTTTGAGACAGGGCAAGAGGCACGTGAATGCTCGTCTGGACGTGCCCTATATATTTCCCATTATATCAGTAGTCTGAAGGATGTAAATAATGTTGAGGTTTTGATATTGCCTAGCAGCACAATGTTCTAAAACAGGGGTGCAAAACTTAGAATAGAAATTTCCAGAAGTTACATTACATTGGGTTGGCCCCTGGCATTGACTATGCTCACAGCAGACTTCGGGATTTGCCAAGTTTGGTAAATTTCAAGGTGCAGAGGTGTTCTGTCAAACACTGCCTATTCTCCATGGTGTTAATGCTATGCCAACAAATTGGATAGACTGGAAAACAGTCATGACTGTGGAAACAGGAATGCTGGAGCATATATAGTCTTCCTTAATTATGCTGCTTATTGTAATGCAATAAAGTCATATGTACATGAATATAATCAAGCATCCAATGTCAAGGCTACCTTCCAGCAAGGCAGGGAATAATTGCTTCAGGGATTTAATTATTACTTTGGCAATGAATTTTGTTAAATGAATGTTTATGCTTTCACAAATACAGGAACAGCTTGTAACAAAGCACAATGTGAACAGGTGTTCTGTTCTGCAGGTTTTGCCATGTAAGAACCAATCTCAGTGAGAGCACCGATACCTACTTCAGTACAGGCAGAGCTGGGCCCACCGTTTGGCAGTGTTCCTCTGCATAACCTATAAAGTGGCATAGTGACTGATATACTTTTCTTGAGTGACTTGTTTTTCTGTTGCAGATGAAATAGCATGCATGTAAGGTAATAGAATGCCTGTCCTAACCTAGGACTCTGAGGTGAAATGTTAAAGAAATGAAATACTAAAACATTTCATTTTACAATACAGTAATACTATGTATTTTTTTTTAATTGAAGATAACAAAGCAAAGCCACGGCTCAGAGTCCAGCCATTTCAGCAAGGATATTGGAGTAAGAAATCTAACCCTGGGACAAATAATTCCTCTTCCCTCTATGGGTAATACCTAAAATTAGGTCATAAACAAAATGAAAATAGAAATACCTATTTAAGCTGCATTGTAAAGAAAAAAAATACGTCATGCTCTCCATGGAGTTGACTACAATCTAATTAACCAAGCAGAAGGGAAACATGACAATCCAAAATGTTTCTCCCATAACCTCCCAGGAGTTGCAAACAAATGTTTCACACCAAGGACCTGACTCAAACAATTGCTGTTGACTTCAGAGGCTTTAGACCAAGCTTTAGCAAAGCACATTTAGTAGAGCAACCAAGGTATTTGGCTGTCACAGGAGGAGTCAAGTTTGGTCAGGATTTTTCCATGGACTTTCTGGGTAGGGTAGCCATATGTCCCATTTTTGCTATGACGTTTTAAACACTTGCCCTGAATGTCCCAGTTCTGTTCTGTTTTCAGAAAACTCGCCACTGGAATGCTTCAGAATGCCACGACTGAATACAGTGGCAACACTTTTTCTACCTAGGGCACACAACAAGGAGTTGCTTGTTCTCTTCTATCCTGTAGTACTCCACCTTCCCCCCCCACTCCAAAGTTCTCCAGCATGCTTAGCTGAGACCCAAGAAGGAACGGGTGGGGGAAGCAGGAGGAGAGGGAAGTGGCAGGAAGCCAGAGGGCCTTTGAGATAGAAGCGCTTAGGTGAGCCCCCTTCCCCTCCCTCAACCAACACATATCAGGTTGTCCTCTTCTGAGACTGATCACCCTACTTCAGAGTCATCCTATTTGCACGCCACAGCCTCTGACACTGTATTCCCATACATGTTTATAAATATTTCCAATACCACAGAGGAAGTCATTCAATAGATTTTCACATGGAAAATTAATCTGCAAATATTCTCAGCTAAGTATTTCTCTACCATGCAAGTTGACATAGAAAGGGAACCATCTGTGTCATCACTGGTTCTGGAGTCGTCACTGCTGTTGACTTCATAATGCTCTTAAAGTGCCTTAAAAGGCAAAACACTTTAAAACATTAAATATTATGAGGAGAAAATT